ATAGCTGTTGGTTGCAGCTATGTCAATGAAGTGATACAGCAATGTCCTGTACCACCTCTTGTGCACTGAGTAATACTGGAGGAGCTGGTCAGAAAGGTTTATACCCCCCATGTATTTGTTGTAGTCCACCACACAACAAGGTGCCGCAAAGTTTTTTTTCTGCCATCTCCCAGTTTCCTGGTTGTGGACGTTCCTGGTGACAGTGTAGGCACTCTGCGGTGCAAATTCCACTCATATTTAGTACATGTTAACTCAAAGATTCGTAGAAAACATATAAACGCTGGACTCTGTGGTCGATTCTGTGTTAAGGTAAGGCATGTTATTCACAATTATGTGTTGTGGCTGGGTTGTTATAGGTCTGCGATGTCGTAGGCCTAACTGAACGGAGGAATTATGGTATTCTTCTGTAGCCTGACGACGAGTAACTTTAACCGTTGTTCATGTGAACTCAAAGACAGCCGGATGCTTTGTATATAGACTATTTGTGGGTGGCTGTTTGTTGTTTCACCTATCAATTTGTGTCGATAAAGTATAATAGGGTAAATCCTGTATAGTGATTTGTCCTATATAGTGCACTTGTAGCTGTTATGCATCTTTGTAAGTCATTCTTTTTAGGCACGCGCAAGCGCACGAATCCACCCCCCATTATAAAAAAAAAATAGTGGGCTCCCCCAAAGTCCACGGTATAGTTCGAGCACTGGTTATATATTCATACACAGATTTCTAAACATTTGATTTGACACGCTCTATCCCATTGCTAAAATTAGTAGCAACTATAATGGGATAAGCAACCAAAATTTTACGCAATGCACTACTACCTTACACGAAAAAAGGAAAAAGCTCACAAAGTAACACACACACACACAGCACAATGCTTGCTATGTATTTTACTGAAAATGACTGTGTGAGATTTTTTTTAACTTGACCGTATAAAAACGTTTTGGAAACAACTATGTTAGAAAACTCTAAAGATTAATTGTGACCGATTTGAACAGAAAAAGCTAGCAATAAATGATACCCAAACTGCACAGTAAAAGTAAATTACTCACATATTGTCTTCAAATGGATCGATCCCTTGGCTGTACTCCTCCTCACTGCACCAGGTATCTGCGCCGGAACCTGAAGATTCCACCGGGACATCGCCAAGCAACTCGTTTGAAAATATCAACTCTAATGCCTCATCCGATGTGTACCGCTGTTTTGCCATTTGTGTTTGTGTTGTTCGTGTTGTCGAGTCAAGTGCTCTGTCATAGAATTCTTTCATGCAAAACCGATTTTTACGTGTATTTATCCGCGCATGCAAATGTGCACCTACTTTCACCCTGTATCTGGACAAATTTCTAAATAAGCATGTTGATTGGTGATTCACAAAGACAAAAGCCTATGTTTATTGGATGAGTACATGACAGTTTGAACCAATCTGGGCATGGGGGTGGGACTAAGCATCAACAACCGTGTTACTTTGTTCAGAGACACCAATCGCATCGCTTCTTTTTGACGAATCAATGCTGTCGAAATGTAATGACGTAATCACATTCACTACGGAGCCTATGAATGTCCAACATAGACACATGTTATATCTCTGAAAAGCCTTTACCTTATCTTTACGATAGTTTTTGAATCATACAGATTGGATTAGCAGTCTCGGTCTTTGAGGGTTAAGGAGCAGCTAGTTGCCCAGGTTGCCTACAGAGCAACGGCCTGGAAATGATAATGCAAAGAGCTGCAATTTGTACGACACAGAATCAATTTTTCAAATAATTCTGAAGGGGCCTATGTACTTGGGACTTTCTGCAGAGAATGGTGAAACCAGGGGTCCTAGGTAGACAACCACACCCTCTGCCCTCTTGGTTGTTACTGCAATAAGATCTTAAAATGGCCAAACCCTTGAATCTGCCATTCTTGGAGAGAAATTGTATCTTTGAGGATTTCCAGTCAACACATAATGACCAATAAAATGTCAAGCAGCCCATACTAATTCTATAAGTTCTCTTTAATTGAAAAATGGCTAGACTTTTAATTAGAGAAGCATCAATAAAATTGCCAGAAGATCCAGAATCAATTAGAGCTTGTACTATAGTAAAAAATTACTCAGAATAATTACTGTAATGGTGAAACATTTATTGACAATGTAACTCACCAAGGTGTTATGTGAGGTTGAGGTGAAGGGACAGCATGGTCCTGCAGTAGTTGCACAGACTCTGGCACAAGTGGTGCTGTTGTTCCCCGGAAAAATCTGAGTTTGTGGGGTTTACACTAGTTGTGCAGGCAGGCAAGGCAGAGCATCGATCTTGATAGACAGAGGAATAAACTGCTCCAAGGATATCCCTGCTGACTAGTTCCATCTGAAGAGTGCATGATAAGCTTCAAAAATACATTGTTTTAGCCAGCACATAATCTGCTGCAGTATCCATGCCTTGCTGAATTGTCACTAGGCGGCCATCTACACCAGTGTTTCCCAACACTGGTCCAGGGGCCCGTTCTTCGTACGTCGCTAACTCCGTTAGCTGGATTTGATTGTTGGGGATTTAACATGATCTTGGATTATTTGGTTCTTCGAAGCTCATCCCAGAGTTGCTGTCATAGCAACAGGTCCGTAAGCTTAAACCTGCTCGGGAGCAGCTTATTTCATGTAAACAGGATTCGATCGCATCTTTTTAAGCAGAACTGATACTTAAAATCTGTCCGTTACCAATGCTACTTTATTACAAGAGTTCCCTACATATCCAGGGACAATAATTTAAAATAATAATAATTTAAAAATGAATGTAAAGATAATATAATTATGTTGTGTAGTCTTTAATACTATAGACACAGCCAGCTTTACTCACTGAGAGATTTATTCGTCATAAAATTATTACTTCATAACTGTATTCGAGCTTTACACACATGCTGTACAGATAATGTAGAGTCGTGCATTAATTTGAGTGCTGACAGATATTAGGGGAGCGGCTTGATGGAGCGCAGGAGATGCAGACCCTTAAGAAACTTTAATTAATGACGTCACGTAACAAATCTGTTCAAATATAAAATTAAATGAATTGCTGATTACACTGAAATAAAAATGTAAAGCCTGTACAAATATTAGAAATCGTGAATATAAATAATTGGGAATCATGTAAAAAATTAAAATAAAATACATATTTAATTTATCTATTATAACATTGATGTAGTTTTGTTCGCTTGGCTGTTTCCTTATAAAGGTTCAGAAATTCGTCAAGTTTTTCGTCAGGTGTCTTTAATTACATGATGTCATTATGTTGCTGTCTTGCCGCAGCCAATCGCTGCATTGCTGATCGTGGTTTCGAGTATCGATACATAGCCCCTTTTAAACCAACCCATGAACGCGCAATTATCTCCGACAACTCAATCCAGCCATACTAATCATCAACAACAGCTGCGTTCGAAGAACAGAATTAGCCAGATCCTGATTGGCGCGATCATATCATCTTGGATGTGACATTTCATCTCGGCTGTAATAAGCGCCGTACGAGGAACGGGCCCCTGGAGGCACATCAACAATGCACGTTTTGGATGTCTCCCTTATCTGGCCCATATATTTCTGCTTTTGTAGTCTCCACTAATTAGTTGAGGAGTTGAATCAGGTGTGTTTGATTAGGAAGAGTTTGAAAATGTCATATTGGTGTGCCTCCAGGAACAGGGTTGGTAAACACTGTTCTACACTAATTCCACCCCTCTGAATGCTCAAATATGTCCAGAAATTGAGACTTAAATGATTCAAGGGAGGTGCCACATTGTGATCCCATGTGATGGTGGTCCATTCCAGCGCTCCACCTGATAACAAAAGGGAGACGATAAAGACCATTTTGGATTGTTTGCTGAGGAGATGGAGGACTACGTCCATTTTAGAATTTAGATTAGAATTCGGGCAATTGCTGTCTTGTGCTGTGAGAGGAGGGAGTGGCAGGTGTGGTGGTTGATTTTTTTTTTGAGATTTCAATTCTGCTAATCAATAACCCCAATGTGCCAATACCCCCCACTGTAACCACACTGTACAACATTTTTAAATGTTCAGATAAAATCCTATTATATTTGATTATCATACAAATAGTTTCTGAAGCTTTTTTTCACTTCATTTAAACATTTTAATGTTTAAATTAGACTTTGTATAACAGATTTACAATGTGACCCTACTGAAGACCACTGTATCTGAGTGTGAGACAAAGCCAATTGTGTATTAAAACCATTCAGTTTAACAACCGTTCAATATTTATGCGCTGCGCACACAAACGTGTTGTCAACACTGCTCCGCGACTCCACATAAAATCACTGTTTCTGAAGTAACTTAAGTGCAGCTTCATTGTTTATAGAGAGCGACAGATGCTGGTAATTCACACACTCTACTTTAATCTCTTTCTGTTACTCAGATTGGACATATTTGAGAAAATAAAGTCAAGTAGTTTGCATCACTGGATATAACTGTCGGTCATTTAACATTTCTATCATAAAACACACTAATATTAAATGATTTGCAACTTCCATCTTACCTCGCTCTCTTTCATTGTTAAACTGACACTTCACACCCCGTCCACTTTGATTTGATTGGCCAGCTCAGTCATTTTGACATTGACGAGCGCTGTTAGACCGCTGATCTGAAGTACCTCGTACGCGCTGTGGTCACGCAAATGATTTGAAGCGCAGGTTAATTCTCACACTTTAATAGTATTTATAGATCCTGTGTAACTATGAGGAATGATTACCTCAAAATGCACATCAGTTTGCATTTTTCCCTATTGCTCGCATGCCAGTGATTATCCCTCGGCGCTCCACTGTTGGCACGTGTGACATAGGTTGCCGACCAAAGCTTTACGGTTTCATTGCTTTAAAACATGATTTTAGTAGTCATAGAGGCACACATGTTTTGTGTGTATTATTATACAGTACAATCTATTTTACAGCTTAGTTTTGCCAGACGTGTGTATTATATATGAAAGACAATGGATAAAATTACTAATGAAAAATGTTGAAATATTTTGCAGGTGGTACTATTGATATAACCGTACACGAGGTGGTGGAGGAAGGCCATCTGAAGGAACTGCATGCTGCATCTGGGAATGACATGGGTGGACAGAGAGTAGATGGGAATGTCATCTCATTTCTAAAAGATATATTCTCTGAGAAAATATTTGATGAATTTGAGCGAGAACACCCCACTGAACTACTCAAATTGAAGTGTGAAATTGCTAATTTAAAATCTTATGACACAGATGTGACAATTTGGTGCCCATTAAACTTGAAAGAAATTGCCAATAAAAGACACGGAAAGAGCATGGAAAGTTACTTTAAAGGTGTTTGTGGAGCAAAATGGGAAGATGGTTCAATCATGATTGAAGAACAACAATTGAGAAGGTTTTTTGATAGCAGTCTCAGGGCGATTGAAACCAGCATTAAACATATTGTGAAAAACACACAGCTGAACATTGAGTACATGCTGTTAGTTGGAGGATATTCTCAAAGTCCAACTCTGCTACAATTTATGCGCAAGCACTTTGGCTCTAAACACAAAATTCTCTGCCCCGATGCACCCCAGGTAGCAATATTAAAGGGAGCAATCGCATATGGCAAGAAACCTACAGTGGTGAAATCCCGCATCTGTACTCTTACATATGGCTTTGATACATGTACACCCTTTAATGAATCAATTCACAAAGGCAAGAGTAAATACGTAAACAGCCTAGGAAAGGAGTACTGTGACGTTATCTTTGAAAAGCTTATTAGCAAAGGAGAGTCAGTCCTCTGCAATGAGCTCAAAGTATTCACCCGTTGGCCAGTTAAACCCAAACAAACGTCGATGAAGTTCGGATTTTACAGCACTACAAGACAAAATGTCATGTATGTGGATGAGTGGGGAGTGGAATGTATCGGATCTCTCATGGTTGGTATGCCAAATACTGACAAAGACATGAGTCGTGAGGTCAGGTTAGAAGTACAGTTTGGCTCTACTGAAATGAAGGCAACTGCATCTGATATGGAATCAGCTGAAACTAAATCGGTTCAATTTGACTTCATGAGCAAGTAGCTTTACATCTGCTGACAACTCATAGCTCTAGCAGGGAAAATGCATATCGTACCTCCACAATAATCATATTTCTAAAATACTTCAATTAAAAATCTTCTGATTTCATTATCCGTGGTAAATTATATTGAAGGGGTGCATTTACAATTCCCTTTTCTTTTATTATGTATAGATGTAATCATAGTTTTCTTTAAAACCAATGTATCTATTCTGTATCCAATTTACTTGTGTTATAGGCAACGTATCTATTTGGCGTCTGAGAAGTGACTGAAGGTATGCAGTAATGTTGACTCATTTAACCTGGCTTCCAGAGAAAAAATACTTCATATACTTGTTTTATAATCATTAATTTAATCATCAGACAATCCAATGTTATATGTTTTAGAAAGAGCTGTCAGTTTAAATGTTGTTATTGTTCCTTTTATTATGTGGTTCTCATATGAAATGTATATGAGACATGCAAAGACAACTGTACCTACCATGTATACCTTGTACCCATTAATGAATATGCATGTATACTGTGTAATTCCTTTAGAGCTCGTAGCACCATTAATTGTTATATGTAACCAGTAGTGCTTATATTGTGTAATAGCTACTTTCCCCCCTTTGTACACCGTAATAGGCCAGATCAGCAGGTTCACTACAGATAAAGCACATTAACACAAAGACCAGACAGACCAAGAAAATTGCTTTCACCAAGTTTGTTTTTACTTTGCAGAGAAATTGAAATGAATGTAAATATAAAATCATATAACAGCAAAATAAATAACTAACAATGAATGTTTTTTGTTGTTGAAGTTTTAACTCCTTAGTAGTGATTTGACTTAGTTATATCTAATTGTACTAATTGTACTATGCTTTCCTTAATTATTTAATTCTCTCTCTCTATATATATATATACTGTACACACACATATTCTTATTGATTTAAATTCTGTTTTAGTTTACTGTCTATATTTTTAACCTCTGCTATGTCGTTGGAGCTTTGAATTGTTTCTTTCTACTTGTTGAATTTGAACCATTATAGGGTTAGTTCACCCAAAATTGAAAAATCACCCCATGATTTACTCACCCTCAAGTCATTCTAGGTGTATATGACTTTCTTCTTTCAGACGAATATAGTCTGAGTTATATTAAAAAATGTCCTGGCTCCTCCAAGCTGTGTATTGGCATTGAATGGTTCAATGGCAGAGAACGTACATGCATTATAAAACTTGGAAGAGCCAGGTGTCAGGTCAGTGAACTACAATTCACAGCAAGCACCTCAGACTTCAAATATGGCTGCCCTGGACTCCATATCCCAGAATACTTGGCAGCGCTCTAAATCACCTGACTTCTGATTAGATGCACATGCAAGCAATTCACGCTGATTAGACACCCTATGTAAAGAGACTCTCAAATCCAAATGCTTTGTGAAGTATCAACTCTTTACCTGGTGTTGTAACTTGTCTATGCCTTTTGGATACTTTATGTTAGTGATGGGCAAATGAAGCCTCATGAAGCACTGAGGCTTTCCTCTGACTGTTTCGGGAAAAGATTCAAAGCTTCGCGAGTGTCAAAAACAGCACCATCTGGTGGTTAATAAAAACTATAGCAGCCAAAAGCCAGTGAAAGACGCCCTGTCGGACGAAGCAGCGACCACAAATTCCATAGATCAACTCATGTTACGTGCATAAATAAAAGCCTAACAGTGTGTGTGTGTGTTTGTTTGTTTGAATTTCTCTCTCTGTAAAATTATTTACCCATTAAACTGTGGCATTAAATGCCAATATGAATATCAATAAGATGTAATAGAAGATTAATGTACACATATATGAATTGCATATGCCAAATATTTTATTTTTTTCTGAAATAATGTTTATTCTTCAATTGCTTTTATGACTGGGTATTTAAAAATGTAAATTGAATAAGTCTGAATGAAAACTTACTCGTAAAGTAAGACCTGGGGTTTCGAACATTCTGACACGCAATTGTGATTGAACAGAAAGTGAGGCTTCATTTTCGTTGATCACGTGATTCTCTGAAAACAATATGCGCTCCGGCACAGAGCTTTGTGAGGAATTGCACTGCGTACTCGATACGCGCTTTAAAGCTTCAGTGTCATATGTAACATCACTACTTTATGTACTCCTGGTGTTTTTTGACTAAGACCTTTACTTTGGATTATTGCTCTCAGTTTCCTGTTTATCTACTGCCTGACTACTGCCTGCTCTATTTTGGATTATGTCCTTTGGATTTTGGACTATTCGGCTTGCTTTATTCTCAATAAAGAGTAGTGATGCAAACTCCGTAATTGCGTTTCAGTGTAAACATGAGCAAAACGGAGACTTCTGAAAACGCTGCAGACCCCGTTTTAGTTTGAAAAGTCCGTAATTGCATTTCAATGTAAACGGAGCAAAACGAAGACTTCTGAAATGAGTCTGTAAGGGACTTCATCCTAGAACAAAAAACAAATGGCAAATACGTGACCGAGGATGCTGAGAAGAGGTGATGCCTGTTTGAAGGGAGTTCTGGACATATTTGTTCAGGAAGCAGCAACTCTGTCAGAGGCTTGTCAATGTTAATTGTTTAGTTTGCTTTAATTTTATTTTCAAGATCTGAGGTAAAATATCTATTGTTGCTTTCACTAGGTCTATAAAGATAATGCAAAATAATATTCAAACTCACATTAGACACTTTTAATATTGAATAAAGCACATAATCATTACCTGAGATTATCACTGCCATATTTTGTATGTTGTTCCTGCTGCGACGTTGCAGAAAATAAAAACCATTTCAAAAATAGAATTCCGTGTCGCTTATTGTTACATGTCGCTGTCGCGGGTGGTTAGGACGAAAACGGATTAAAATTAACAATGAAATTAATGTACGCACTCACACGTACAGTACATCACCTGGAAAAAATCACCACTAAAGTCGCTGATAATGTTCCATTTGGACTCTAAAATCTTGACTGACACCATTAAGCCTGCTGCGCCACCTAGGAGAACTAGAAAATTGTTGGAGGGCAATGCGAAAAACTGGGTCCACAACACACAGTTAATATTAGAAGAACACTAGGAAACACAAATAAAGCAAACCATCATAGAATTGAAAGAGAGAACAGATCAAGGTGACTGGCATCATGCCTTTGAAGTGGCATGTAATTGGGCTAGGAAAAACTTCCGAGGCAGAATTAGGGAGGAAGTATTTGAAGAAACAGAATCCATTTTTCGAGCTCACATGAAAACGGGGAATACTCAGACAGAGAACAGGGAGGGCGAAAAGTCATCGACGGAGACAGTGACCAACCCTCGTTAGACACAGACCATAGAAGGGTCACAGCTATCAGGGAAACGGTCGATGCATTTTGAGATTAGGTTCCCCTTGGATACCGGCGGGTAGAGGCGAGTGGTCATTCGATGAGGAGGAATTTCCACCACTAGAGCCACCCCCCCTGAAACCCACATCCACGAGAACCCTGGCGCCTCTGGAACAGAGGATACCTCGTAAATTATTCACAGAGCTTTTAATAGAAAGAACAGAGACACCAGTAATACCGGAGACAGAAACTCAACCTCCTACTATGGAGGGAGGAATCAATAATGAGGATGGTGATGATAAGAGAGAAATGACTGAAAACAATGAGGAAAACACAACACCATGTAAACAAACAAGAAAAAACAATAACACATCCACAGAAAACAGAGTGGGGACCATTAAACATTCCCTCCGTAGAGTGATAAATTCGCCTTTCTTATTCTCAGAGGCTTCTAGTGAGGCCCAGTTATCTGACAGTTCTAGTGCGAGGGCTGCACCACAATCAACACTAACTAGATTTTTAGCAGACAACCAGGAGGCGATCAGACAATTAACGGAGGCTTCAAACATTGAAAAAAAGATCGAAATTAACCGCATGTTGGAGGAAGTACTCCCTGGGACACCTGAGACTCCCAGGTCGATAGGCAGACCCAACAAATTGGATTGGTGTGTAAATTTAAAGAAAAAATACATTATTATCGGGGATTCCAACGTAGTTAAAATTTCTACGTTTAACTATGCTGACCTACAAATCGATTGTTTCCCGGGAGTTAAATTTCAACATGCGGGTAATTTAATGGAGAAGGCCACTGTTGCGTTAGAGCCAGAGATACTCATTTTTTCGTTTGGCATTAACAACAGGACACAGAGATGTATCACAATGACGACGAAAGAAATACAAAGAACCTACAAAATGGCGCGTAACAGATTACCACACACAGAGTTGTACTTCCCACTGATCAACTTCTCAGAACAATTACCGTGGGAAGAGCAAACGTATTTAGACAAGATGAATGAATACATTAAAAGCACACTCAACTTCATTGTAGAACTCCCTACAGAACGACTAAAAATTGAGCATGATTTAATTCACTGGACCCCAGAAACAGCAAAAGCGATGCTCAATCACTGGGTGAACAAATTAAACTTCCAAGGAACTTCAGGCCAATAGATGGCACTGAGAAGCTAATTGTAAATCTTTCGTCGTCGTTCGTGCTAACAGAGGCCCAGAGAGAAGTCCTATTGAGGGGACTATCATTTGTTCCAGCACCGAAGAATCAAAAAACACAGAAAACAGAATTATTGAGAGGCTTACAAGAGTACCACAGGAGGGTAAAACTTGAAAATTTCTTTGAAGGAAAGATAAAACAAAAAGAGAAGGTTCCCTTCACTTATGGTTCTGATTGGACCCCTCCCCTTTCCAGATTGCCAATGCAAATTTCTCAAATTATAGAAGCATATCTTTGCGCCCACAGACACTTGCATTGGGGGAGAAGAGAAAAAAACGATCTAACTATAAGTGAAGAGAGAGCTCTCGATCAGCTCAGAAAAAACAGAAAGATAGTAATCAAACCGGCTGATAAGGGCAATGCGGTAGTGCTGATGAACAGAGAGGACTACCTCTGGGAAGGCATGAGACAACTGAATAATTCAGAACATTATCGTCCACTGGTAGAACCGATTTTTCCACAAACCCAGATAGAG